CAGTCTAAAATGATCTTTAAAGAAGCGTGTGTAGTCAGCGTTATATACCAGTGTTATTAAGCCTCCTGAAGCTCTTTTACTTTGTAGCATCACAACAAAAAACACATGAGTCAAATGACATCTTCTGTTTCTCTTCATACAGCAGATTCACACTGGATTCTTTCATGTAGCATTTTGAAGTCACTGTCCATCGTTTGACATGTTTTCACAGCAAAATTATGCACAAAAGACAAAAAATGCAATATTAAATTAAACAGTATTATGCATTAAAGTTACATTCTCACTTAGTTCATATTTTTGTCCTGTTTCCCCAAAGATGAACTGGACTTTAACTGTGACTTTAGTTTTGACATGTAAATATAGGAAGTTAAGTGAACTAACCTGTTTTCATAGTTTTCATATTGGTGTTTTTTTCACATCATGCAGCCTTAACACACAATCTAAATAAATATATGAGTCCTGTATAAGTGAAATAAATCAGGTGAATTTGCTTCAGTTGTTCATATCAGTGCGTTATGTAACTGTGAAAGCGTGACACTGAAGTTATCTGTCTCCATGGAAACAAGCAGGTGGTTACAGGTCAGATCTGTGAAGAGCTGAACCTGCTCACAGTAACAATAACATGCACTGACATCATCCGTGATACAGTGAATCCAAAAGAGATAAGTTTAATGCCATACTGTGGAACATTTCTAGACGAGTGGCGGATCCCTCACCATAAAAGTCACGTATTACAGTAACGATTTTATACTCTCTGCCACTGCATCCAACAGATCAGTGTGTGGACGCAAAACAAATTTCTCCAGCTAAACTCAGACAAGACTGAAGTCATTGTCTTTGGTCCACAGAAACAAAGAGACAGTGTGAGCAGTCACCTCCAGTCTCTCTCTCCAAAACCTTCAAATCAGGCAAGAAATCTAAAGGTAATAATGGATCAGACTTGAACTTTAACAGCCATAACAACTGCAGCTTTTTACCTTCTAAAAACACCACAAAAAATCAAAGGTTTACTGTCTAAATCAGACTTGGAGAGACTTATCCATGTGTTTGTCTCCAGTAGGTTAGATACTGTAACAGACTCTCACTGTGAGACGCTGCAGAACATCCAGAACACTGCAGCTCAGGTCCTGACTCCAACCAAGAAGTCCGAGCACGTAAGTCCAGGTGTCAGGTCTCTGCTCTGCCCCCTGTGGTTCAGAGAAAAGACTTTAAAGGGGCTCTGTTTGTACAAGTCTGTCCATGGCCGAGCACCAAAATCCATCTGTGACATGTTAGTGCCACATGAACCATCTGCACTCTGAAGAGCTCAGGGACCGACTCCTGCTGGTGCACAGAGTCAAGACTGAATATGTGCTGAAACCAGGACTAAACTGAGATTTAAACCAAGATTAAACCAGGATTAAACCAGGAACTAAACCAGTGACTAAATCAGGATTTAAACCAGGGCTAAACCAGGACTAAACTGAGATTAAACGACTAAAAGATTAAACCAGGACTAAACTGAGATTAAACCAGGACTAAACTGAGATTAAAACCTAAAAGACTAAACCAGGACTAAACCAGAACTAAACCAAGACTAAACCAGGAGGACTAAACTGAGATTAAACCAGGATTAAACCAGGACTAAACTGAGATTAAAAACAGGATTAAAAATCAGGACTAAAATGAGATTAAAAAGACTAAACTGAGATTAAACCAGGAGGAAATCAAGAAGGAAACCTAAAAGACTTAAACCAGGACTAAACTGAGATTAAACCAGGACTAAACCAGGACTAAAACTGAGATTAAACCAAGACTAAACTAGGACTTAAACCAGGACTAAACTGAGATTAAACCAGGAGTAAACCAGACTAAACCAAGAGACTAAACTAGGACTAAACCAGGACTAAACTGAGATTAAACCAGGAGTAAACCAGGAATAAAACCAAGACTAAACCAAGAGTAAACCGGGACTAAACAGGAATAAACCAGGACTAAAACCAGGATTAAACCAGGACTAAACCAGGAGTAAACCGGGACTAAATCAGGAATAAACCAGGGGTAAACCAGAATTAAACCAGGACTAAACTGAGATTAAACCAGAACTAAACCAGGACTAAACATGGGGAGTCAGCCTTTCAGTTTTTTGCGGCTAAAACCTTGAACATTCTTCTGAACATGTGAGACAGACCTGTGCTCTGACTGTGTTTAAATTCAGACTCAAAACTCTTCTGTTTAACTGAATATGACTGAAAGGTTTTTATTCCTCTGTCTCTTCTCTTTTAATAATTTTAATGCAAATTTTTGATGATTATTTATGTTCTGATCTGTTTGTATTGTGATGTTAATGTCTTTCTTATTCTGTAAAGCACTTTGAATCACTTTGCGTATGAATTGTCCTCTACAAATAAACTTGGCTTTGCCTCTGATAACTTAGAACATTTTCCTATCTGTAAGAAGACAAAGGCCTATTTTAAAATGTCACAAGAGCAGTTTTCACTTCAACATTTTTATTCATCTCAACATAAAACAATATTGTGGTCTTTTCACCTCATCCACGATGTATTCACCTGTTACACCACACAGCTACAAAGAGACAGACTCAACACACACACTTTTTTACAAGCATGAAAAACAAACCCTCAAATTTAAACACAAGTGCAGCTGCCTGATGTTTAACACTTTTTATGAGCTTCAAGTCAGATTTAGAGTTTCAAGATTTCTAAATAATGCAAAAATAATCTGTGAAAGTGAGTGAAAAAGACAAAATGTACAAGTGTATATCTACGGGAACAGTTTGGGGAGGCAGTGTATCATGTGATATTGTAAATAGCATTGGGAAAGTGGTACAATGTAGAGAACAGGGAGGTTTCTCGAGCCGTCCGCAACATAACAGTCTTCATATATGTATTTTTCTAGTTTAAATGTCTTCAAGTACAGTAGGTTTCTAATGATACCCCCCGAAATGCAAGCAGAAGGTGTAAGATGATTTGTAGCGTCGTAACAAAACTTTTTTTCATTTCTGCAAAGTCAGCACCATGGCGTGTCTTCCTGTATAGAAATCTGTCCTAAAAGTATAATTTGACAGTCTCAGCTCTCAGAAAAATGTTTGCTATTTTTTATTACAGTGAAATTTAAAATGTAGCGTCGCATGGCACCAGACCCCCTACATAAGAACAATATTGAAACTTGACATGTCCTCTTCAGTAATATTAGCACCCGTGAGTTTGTATGTAAAGTACACTGATGCATTGTGGGTAAAAACATCATGAGTTCCAGATGCACGATTGAAAAGTGTCAAATTACAAAAACCTGCGATTTCTGATTCATTATGAAACCAGAACAGACACATAAAACAAGTGGCACATTGTCTGTATGTGATAAAATTCATATTGAAGTAATGGGACATGGTTATAAAGATGCACTGTGGAACTTTTCTGGTGGAGGGTCCTTCAAATGTTTTTCTTCATGGAGATGTTATTGCTTTGCCTGGAATGTTTCGCAGTATGGCATTAAAGCTTTCTATCATGGAGACCGAACTGGACCAAGTTACAGGTCAGATCTGTGGAGAGGCGCACTCAGAATGTCTGTTTTTCTCATATTTTTGAGCAATAAAACCACCTGTAATTGAATAAATGTAAGGTAGATCTGATTAATGTCATACTGTGGAACATTTTAAGTTGAGTATCTGTATTCTACATGTCCAACAAGCAGGTGATGCACCTCTAACCTAAAAGTTACACAGTGCACCTTTAAATTCATTTATTATGCTTATTTCAGAACATGTTTGTTTACAACTTGATGATTGCAGTTGTACTTTTTAGGGAGTATCCATTTTGAATTTTCTATCATAATGTCCAATTCCGACCAAAGCTCATTCGCAGCTTTGTGGTTTCACATCAAGCCTCTGTTGGTGCACTTGGTTTTCACTGGTCATTTAATAAAGATAAACAAACCATGATTCAGTCCAAAGTGGAAAAGAAACAGCGACTTTGAACTGTCGTCTGTCAGCTCCAGTGGTGGAAGGTAACAAAGTACTAAAGGAAAAGTACAATACTCAAGTGCAATTTTTAGGTATCTGTACTTTACTTAAGTCAGTTTTACAGTGGATACTTTTTACTTTTACTTCACTACATTTGAGAACGTGTATCTGTACTTTCTACTCCATTACATTTTAGATCTGGACTGAAAAGTAAAAAGTACTTGTGAGACCTGCTGAAAGGGCGGAGACTTTATTTTTAGCACATTTAATTTGAGTTAACGTCACGACTTTGAGCAAAACATATACACAAAAACAACTAGAAAAATGAAGAACTCAATTGAATCACTTAAAATCTGCCAAATTCTTTTTCATCTATTTCATCTAAAAATCGCAGCAAAATATTTTTACTTTTTACTCTTAAGGCTGCATTGTGTTACTTTTCCTGGAGTGTCCATTGAACGCTTTTCTCCATGGAGATGTTATTGCTTTGTCTGGAATGTTTCACAGTATGGCATTAACCCTTCCTATTTTTAAGGAGACCAAACCAAACAAAGTTACAGGTCAGATCTGTGGAGAGGCGACCCCGCTCAGTCAGAATGTCTGTTTTTCTCATATTTTTGAGCTATAAAATCACCTGTAATTGAATAAATGTAAGGTAGATCTGTTTAAAGTCATACTGTGGAACATTCTGAGCAGAGCAATGACATCTCCATAGAAACAAGGTGGTGATGGATCCTTCACCAGAAAAGTTACACAATGCACCTTTAAAGTACATTTTTAATCAGGTACTTTAATACTTTTATTTAAGAACACTTTTTTTTCTTGAGATACTTTAACTTTTACTTGAGTAATCTTTGCCCGTGTATCTGTACTTCTACTTAAGTAACAAAAGTGAGTACTTCATCCACCACTGATCAGCTCTAACCCATAAGTGTGTGTGTGGATCCAGTGATCGTAAACACACGTGCAGAGAAAAGTGACGACTCTGTGAGATGATGTGAAACACTGCACGAGGCTCAAATGAATAAAACACAACTGCTAATATTTTGAATTGTATTTTTTATTTAAGAGCTTAAGAAAAGGCTCACATTCACACAACATTAATGGAAGTATTCCTTAAAGCAAATTCAATACAAACACTAAATATGTATGAAAATATTAAAAATGTCCATCTTTATAATATAACCCAAGCAAATCTATTTACACAAATATAAAGTGGGCAAAAGGAATTAACAGTACAATATATTTACATTTGCAGCATAAATTACAACTTCATGTACAGTAGTGTATTTCACTATTAAATTAAACAGACACGTCTAATAAATGGTTCCATCACTGTTTTAACTGATCCAGCAGTGATCAATTACAAATGTATTTTCTGAAATTACCCAAATGTCAATACAGTTTCAGCCAAAAAATATGACATGATATATTATTTTTACAGACAATGTACGTTCAGTGTCATTTGTGAATCCATTTGAGGAACTGGGGCCTGTCTGTTCATATTTTATCAAAGCTTCTGCTCTTTTCTTTGGCTCACATTTTAAATAGATCAGTCTCCTGTAATGTCTTAAATAACTGAGTAAATATATATACATTGACATTTAAGTAGGACCAAGATATGACAACTCAATACTGATTTCAGTCTTTAAAAACTTGTAACAGACATGATTTAAGAAGTGTTATCTCGTCTTAAAGGCATTTTTTACAGCGGCACTCAAAGTCAATGAGACAATTAGTGGTTTTACTCTTGTCAAACTCCTGTAAAACTGTAAAATATCTTAAATCCAAGTCATACGCTGTTCACCAAACCATTACAAATGTTTTATTTTCTCCTAATCGCTCAAACAGCTCACATGTCACTGTTTAGGATCAAGAGGTTGTTCAGCCTCCTCCTTTTGTCTTGCGACTGGAAAAAGAAAAATAACTTCACTTACAATAATAATCCTAATGAAAAGCAAATATGTATGTACTTGTCTTCCAGGTCATGTGGAGACTCATGTGGAGACTCAGTGTCACTTAAAGGTCTTTGCCTCGTCACAAAGCAGACAAAATGTGAGGTTATATTTTTTCTTACCTTGAACAAATTCTTTCTCGACCTCTGGTTTAGTATGCGCCTGCTTGGGCTGAAATAGAAGCAGTTGAAATGTTTTTTTTATGTTTTCAGTTTAATGCAATTTTTCATTTTTTAAAATACATTTAAGCTTACCTTTACGCCATCTGTACACGGCAAACCCAACAGCAGCAAGAAGAAATACTCCAAGAACGACCACTGCAGCTACAATAACGCCTGTGTAATTCTTTGCTGTTGAAATAAAACATTAAATAAATAAAAACTATAACTGAACGTGCACTTAAAGATTAGTGACTCATCCACACTCCCCGTGTTTAAAAAAGCCCAGAAAACCATCTCTTTAAAACTTTCTTATTTCTTTTGTTTGCCTTTACTCGTCTCTTCATGTAAAGCGTCTTTGAGTATGTTGAAAATCGCTATACAAGTGTTATGTTTTATTATTATTATTATTACTCTGTCTACATCTCCAAAGCTCAAAACACTTTGTTCCATCTTGTGATGTCATGAAGTGGTAGTTTTCAAGTTACAGCTCCTGTTCAGTGGAGATGGGTAATTTCACGGCTCAAATTATCCAAATGATTCCAGCCTAGTGAAAGTTTAGGGAGTTTAAAAACACAGTGGAGACTTCTTGTATTACTACATGACATCACAAGGTGGAACAAAGCATTTTCTGTTTGAGAGAAGAACTAAATATGCAGTGTTTGAGTGTTAAACATGTTTTTGATGATGAAAACAACATGATAACACAGATAGGAAAACAGTGTAAAATGGGCCCTTTGACCTTAGATTTCCAACACATGATTCAACCCTTTAGTCCCACAGAAAGCTGCTCACCGTTGGTCATGATCAGGTCTGGGTGCAGCTTGGTGGGCATGTCTGGAACTCCGGACAACTGGAACATGCACCCGAAGTGTCCCCAGTCCTCAGGTGGGACAGAGGACAGGTGGGACATGTCCAGGTCCACACTCATCTGGAAGGTCCCGTCGTGATTGGGCAGGATCTCCCCGGGGTCCACGCCCTCGTGCAGCTCCACTCCGTCTTTGGTCCAGAACAGCATGGCTCTGTCGGGGTAGAAGCCTGTGGCGTGGCAGGTGACCGGGGACGAGGGAGTCTTCTGCAGGAAGGACACCCGAGGGAGCTCTGGAGCAGGACCACACACAGTTTTGGATCAGAGAAAAGGAAAAACTGTCAAATTAAACACAAAATTGCAGTATTGTCACTTCATATCTTTTCTTTTTTTTTTTTTAAATATAACATTTCTAATACTAGTTTCAACAAAGATCATTCGACCTTCATAATGTTTTTTTTTTTCTCTTATCATTATAGACAATTAATGGAAACAAATCTTAGTGAGTCCAGTTGTTTTGATCTTTATCTTGGTGATAAAACATTACAGACAATATACTCAATATTCACTTTTACATCTGTTCAAAACATAAAATAGAATTTCTATTTTACATTGAATATGCTCACAGTCCAACAATAAAACTATAAAACCTTGAATTAGACATTTGTCAACGTGCTCATGATAAAACACATGAATATATGTACTATTTGTTTAAAACTTTAAAATCTGATTAAAGGAGACATCAAATGTTTGTTTTTAATGATTGTAAATGAAAAAAGAATGTATTTTCTAGAGCTGTAGGTCTTTAGTTGTTTATTAAATCAGTTGGCTGATGGTGTCTTAGTTGAACAAAGTTTTTATAAGTTGAATTATTATTTTATTAAAGATTTGTACATTTTATTTTAAGGATGTATTCATTTTATATTAAGGATTTTACATTTTATATTAAGAATTTATACATTTTACATTAAGAATTTATTAATTTTATTTAAAGGATTTATACATTTTACTTTAAGGATTTTATACATTTTTTTAAGGATTTATACATTTTATTTTTAAGGATTTATACATTTTATTTTAAGGATTTATTCATTTTAAGGATTTATACATTTTACTTTAAGGATTTATACATTTTACTTTAAGGATTTATTCTTTTTTTTTTAAGGATTTATACATTTTTTTTAAGGATTTATACATTTTATTTTAAGGATTTATACATTTTAAGGATTTATACATTTTATTTTAAGGATTTATTCATTTTTTAAAGGATTTATACATTTTACTTTAAGGATTTATACATTTTTTAAGGATTTATTCATTTTATTTTAAGGATTTATACATTTTATTTTAAGGATTTTTACATTTTAAGGATTTATACATTTTATTTTAAGGATTTATACATTTTTTTTAAGGATTTATACATTTTATTTTAAGGATTTATACATTTTATTTTAAGGATTTATACATTTTATTTTAAGGATTTTACATTTTAAGGATTTATACATTTTATTTTAAGGATTTTTACATTTTAAGGATTTATACATTTTACTTTAAGGATTTATACATTTTATTTTAAGGTTTTATACATTTTATTTTAAGGATTTATACATTTTACTTTAAGGATTTATTCTTTTTATTTTTAAGGATTTATACATTTTATTTTAAGGATTTTTACATTTTTTAAGGATTTATTCATTTTTTTAAGGATTTATACATTTTACTTTAAGGATTTATACATTTTATTTTAAGGATTTATTCATTTTATTTTAAGGATTTATACATTTTATTTTAAGGATTTATACATTTTATTTTAAGGTTTTATACATTTTATTTTAAGGATTTATACATTTTTATTTTAAGGTTTTATACATTTTATTTTAAGGATTTATACATTTTATTTTAAGGATTTATACATTTTATTTTAAGGATTTATACATTTTTATTTTAAGGTTTTATACATTTTATTTTAAGGATTTATACATTTTATTTTAAGGATTTATACATTTTAGACACACGACAGGAGAAAGGAACAGGTTTGGAGTGAGTTAGTTTGAGGTTTGGCTGTGAGTTGTGAGTTGAATCTGAGTTCTTTAATCTGAGTTGAATCTTCCTCTGATTATTTGTAGTTTTCTGTATAAATATGTGTCATGGAGTGAACTCGTGTGATCTTTTGCTCTTATCAGTGCAGTTTGGGTCAAATGTCAGAGCTCATGTCACACAACACGTTATCCTCTTTTAGTCGACTCATCAGTGCAGAGTGACTGTCTTTACTCAACTACAGTCTTTGGAGTTTCAAATATGTGTTTTTATTAACTGTGTGAAAAAGAGATTGTTGTTTTTTATTTATTGGTCAGATTTCTGCAGCACAGCCTCTCATCTGTTTTAAGTTGTAATTAGTTTAAACATGTTACCTTTCCTCATAATGGTGCTCTGTCCATTCCGCAGGTGTTTCTTCAGATACTCAACACAATCGTGGGTGATGTAGTTTTTCTGTCTAACAGCCTCTCCGCTCCTCTCCCACTTGTGTTTGGTGGGGACGGCCTCTGATCTCGGAGCCACAAAAGTCTCAGTCTTCAGGTCAAAGGCGATAAAATCTTCTCCATCAAAACCAAACTGAAACCATCCATTTATGTCACCAGTCTCATCGTCCCATTCACAGCCGACATCCGCTGGTGACATGTGAGAGCCTGAAACACAAACATGACAGGTTTTTATTTCACATTGTATTTTGACATTTTGTGTTGTTGGACATAAAACTATAATACATGTGTTGTTTAGTCATGTTTTCAAAGTGATTTTAAAATGATGAATCTTATATAAAAGTGCACGAGCTGAACAGATGTGTTTTCTCCTGGACTAAATGGAACTGAAAGAGAAATAATAATAAAATGGACTGAAAATAAATGACCATATAATACAGCACTAATATAAACAATATAAATGTTTTTTTTCACATACAACATGAAATTGAACAAGATGAGCTGTAAAAAGTGAAATCAGACAAACCTTCAGTCTGGTTGAGGCGCTGTTTCACTATTTCAGTGTTGCCTTTCATCACCTGCTCACCAACCAAACTGATCTGAGTCTCTGTGTCCCAGTACTGTGGATCCTCCTCTGTGATCTTCTTCATCCACTCCTGTTTGGGCACTGCTCTCTTTGTGTTACTGTCATAATGAGTGATCTGAAGGCCATTCACATAACCAACTTCAATGAACTCTGGGAAGTTTGGAACATCATTTGAAGAAGTGGTAAAATACATCAGAGAATGAGTCACTGTGAAAAGAAAAACACTGTCAGTTAAAAATACAGACAAAACAAATAAAAAACAAATAAAAGTAATGAAATGTTTGTCCTTATATAGAAAAGTATCCACTGTCAATTCTATTATCATTCCTCAATTTCTATATTTGTTCTTGTCACTGTCATCTCCATCACAAAACGTCTTTAAAACTTATGATCAGAAAAGATTCAAAGAAGAGTTTTGTATCATGATTTTAATTATTGGAGCTTTAAACGGCTCAACTTAGAAGCCTCATGTTTGTCCTTCAAAGCATCAATGGTCCCAAACTTGATTGAAATACAGAGTGATGCACAAGTATTTTGTAGGATAAAACTGTAGACTTTCTTACAACAGATGCCCTCCCACTTTTTATACTCAGACAGTTTGATTGTAAATATATCGAGTGTTACAAAAGAAAGTCTGCTTCATGGTGCTGCTTCCAATTTGATAAACCTGAAAAAAGAGACGACCTTTTACAATAGTTCATATGGTTCAGTTCAAATATTGGAATAGATTCTTTTCTTCTTTTTGGGCATGTATGTTTGTGATTTGTGATGTGATGTTTGTGTTTGTGATGTTTGTGTGTTTGTGTTTGTGATGTTTGTGTTTGTGGTGTTTGTGTTTGTGGTGTTTGTGTTTGTGATGTTTGTGTTTGTGATGTTTGTGTTTGTGGTGTTTGTGTTTGTGGTGTTTGTGTTTGTGATGTTTGTGTTGTGTGTTTTGTGTTGTTTGTGTTTGTGATGTTTGTGTTGTGTGTTTGTGTTTGTGATGTTTGTGTTTGTGATGTTTGTGTTTGTGGTGTTTGTTCACTCAGAGAATCAAATCATCACAACACTGGGAACAAAATGAAGCAACGAATAAATCAAGACTTTCATCAACTATAGTTTGTAAATCATCAACAAAACATTCAAATTGGAAAAGGAAACAAAATAAACCAACAAATAAAATACAGTTCAGTAAAGATGATTCCTTCTAATAGTTTCAGAAAGTGGGAGGACACAGTGGATTGACCTTTACATGGGACGGGATTTTGAAATTCATTTACCAAACAAATGCTGATGTGTAAAATAGATGTTTTTTTTTTTTTTTTTTTTTTTTATCAAAATGCTAAATAATCTTCTTCCTACAGTAAAAAAGTTCAAAAAGTGGAGTATGACAGAGAGAGATGAAGGGCGTTGTTGCTGTTTGGAAGTGGAGTTCACTGAACACTTGTTTTGGTGCTGAAATATTGTCTCGTTATTTTGGAGAGAAAATGTGTTTAGAGTTGACTTCGTCTTTTAACTTGGATTTAGTCTCTACTTTACTGAGAGACTTTCAAAATAAAACTGACCTGCTTCTTTGAATTATTACATCGGGAAAATGTTTTATTTTCAAAGCTAAAAATTGATTCTCACTTAATATTAATAATTTTTAAAATATATATTTACCAATTTTTAACTTGAGAAAAGTAAACAACTGAAACAGACAACAAGGAAATAAAGTATAAAAAGAGACAGGAAGTTCTTAAATACTTGGGACAAAATGACTTTTGTGCATTTATGTGCTCATCTGTTTGATGTAAATGTAGTAATTATGACTTATGAATTATGTATTCATACTAATATTTGTATTTATCCATATAAAATATCAATAAATACAATTCAAATACAAAGTCAGTACTTAAAAATAATTTAATCATTATTTAAAGTTAATTAATTATTTAGATTAGTGAACCCTAACCCTAAAATATAAATAAGAATGGAAATATAAGTGATCCTTAAAACTAAGACAATTCATATTTTTTATGAATTACTATTATTATTAATCATAATGAAAATAATACATTTTAAAAATTAAAAAAAAAAAGAAAAAGGAAAGGACAGAAAGTGGGGAAAGAAAAAGAAAATGTTTTTGAAATGACGCCTTAAGTTTCAAGTAAAAAGTAAAAGATGATGAAAGGAAATGATGATGGTGAAAATAATATTAGTTAAATTTAGTGACTAAAAGTGTTTATTAAAACTTTAGAAAAAATAAAAGAGAAAGGAAAATGAAATGATAAATTGTCTAAAATATAAATGCCAGGGGGCTGCAGAATGGTTTACTTATTTTTATTTATATTTTTTTTATTTCAGTTTGTGTGTTGGGGAAGGGCTGGGTTATGAGGACTTTTGTTGTTTTATGTTTTTGTGTCTTATTTTTATGTTTTCTTATTGTATTTTATTAAATCTTATATTCTACTGTCTTTAATAAACAATAAGCAAATAAAAAACACTATTTGAAGCACTGTTTAGACCCAGTTTAGTCCTGGTTTAGATCTGGTTTAGTCCAGGTTTAGTCTTGATTCAGTTCTGGTTCAGTTCTGGTTTAGTCCTGGTTTAGACCTGGTTTAGTCCTCTTTTATTCCTGTTTTAGTCCTGGTTTGGACTTGGTTTAGACCTGGTTTAGTCCTCTTTTTATTCCTGGTTTTCAGTCCTGGTTTAGTCCTGGTTTAGACCTGGTTTAGTCCTGGTTTAGATTCCTGTTTTAGTCCTGGTTTAGACCTGGTTTAGTCCTCTTTTATTCCTGGTTCAGTCCTGGTTTAGTCCTGGTTTAGACCTGGTTTAGTCCTCTTTAATTCCTGGTTTAGTCCTGGTTTAGTCCTCGTAGTTTAGTCCTGGTTCAGTCTTGGTTCAGTCCTGGTTCAGTCCTGGTTCATGTGTTGTAGTCTCTGCTTTATGTTCTGTAGGTGATTATAAACAGTGTTAATGTGATGATTCTGCATCATTTTGAGTAAAAAAAACAAACAAACAAAAAAAAAACCATCAAATATAATAGATTTTTACTGGCTGAAGCCTTTATGTTTGTACTGAAAGAGAGTTTTTTTTTTTATTATATAAAAAAAAAAAAAACTAACAATCTATATGACACCTGTGTGTATTTCGGCAGGTCAAGTTGAGTATGTGGCTTTTGGAGGTGAATTATTGCCAAGAAATAGTCCAATTAATCCCATTTTAAGAAGAGTTTTCACATTTGTGCTTGTCTGTGGCTCATGGCTCCTCCTTCTATAAACGACAATAACACTGGAGAGGGAAACTGTTTTGAGTCAGAATTAAAGAAAATGCAGCAGGAGATCATTAGACCTACATGTTTGTCAAAACTGATGATTCAAATTTCAGAAAAAGTTGAAAATGATGCCCATTTTCTGTTGGAGGATCTGCCACCTGCTGGTCTCCACAGAGATATTATTGCTTTGCTTGAAATGTCGCACAGTAGGGCATTAAACTTGGCATTAATCACCTTGAACCTGAACGCCTGAGAGGTCACAGGAGCTTTATACTGGTCAAACTACCTTTTTCATCTTTGCGCTGTATCTCCTACTGTATTCCAACTCTTTATAGCATAGACATAGAGCTATTTTACTATATTTACTTTTACATGTCCAAAAAAAATCTGTACACTTGTATATTTATGTATTCATGATCTATTTGGTTCACTGATTATTAAAATAAATATTGTTATACTGTAATGTGTGAGCTGCTGTGTCCAAGTCCCTGTGGGTCTAGTCTAAGTGGTTTTATTGCTCAAAAACACATTGAAAAACAGACATTTAGTCTAATGCCATACTGTGGAACTTTCCTGGCAAGTCATCTACAAGTTAAGACATTTCTACACTAAGTTGTCATATTATAATATTTGATTTCCAAGTCTGTGCCAAAGTGAAAGTTTGTGCGTAAAGGCTCCTCTGTAGGACCACGTTACATGTAGAACTATTTGGGTTCAGAGACGAAAGATGTAAAAAAAATCTTGTTTCACTTGTGTTAGACCAAAAGAAAAAGAACCAGGAGCAAGATGAAGGACTAAACCAAACCTTGGAATAAATCTGGACATAGTTATTGCTAGTGACAAGAACAACACGCAGCAAAAGCAAAGGCCTACAGCGTCCACAACATGTCCAAATAAACCTGTGTAGCTCACGATTTATACACTTCTTATTCACAACGGAGCTGACATAGAAAGAGAAACGTGTTCAGAAATACATAATGAATTAAATAAATTGCCAAATAAAATAATAAAAACTAGGCCTACGTAGATAATTTAAAAAGAATGAAAAACAAAACAGGATCAGAAGAGAAATTAAACTACTCACTTGAGGCGACGCCATTTAGATGTAGTCCTACTCCAAGGAGAGAGACCAAAACCAAAATATTTAGGAGGAACATTGTAGAAGAAGTTTCCAGAGAAAAGCGGGAGAAGAGTAAAGTGGAGAGACGCGACAGACGCATTTATTACGGAACAGGGAGCGACATATCTGCGGGAATTTCTGGTGAGAAGGTCAAGTGATCATTTTGGAACCAATCAGAATTCAGATTGAGCACAAACGTCACGTGTAACCAGGTAAAAGTGCCTCTCACAGGTTGTGAGCTAAACAAGGCAAAAACGAAAGTAAAAGATACTGAGGTAAAACTAGAATGTCGACTGTTTTAAGTGATTAACTACCAGAGATGTAACATAACTCCACAAGTAACACATCAAAAACATAAAGTTACCCTTACACAGTGCTTTTATAAGTGTTTATTTCCATTTTACAACCATTTTATAGCTTAAATATAGTTGAAGAGACGCCACCTATTGGTTTCATGCTAGTATGACCAGGACTATTTAGCCCTAGGACTAACATGTATAAACTGCATAAACCTGACTATACAAACACTAATTAATCCAGTTAGTCTAAAGATATAACTTTAATAACTACAATAATACCCTTAAGTAGACTATATCAGCAAAAATATAGACTTGATAGCCGATTGAAAAGCTGCAGTAGTGAAATTGTAGCACTATTAGACTCCATGTTACATACAACAGACAAAGGATCAGGTTTAATCTGATCAAACCCTGAGTTTATGATGATGCTGAACTTTCACTGACTCTCGATTCAGTCTAAAATGATTTTTAAAGAAGCGTGTGTAGTCAGCGTTATATCAGTGTTATTAAGCGTCCTGAAGCTCTTTTACTTTGTAGCATCACAACAAAAAACACATGAGTCAAATTACATCTTCTGTTTCTCTTAATCCATCAGATTTACAGTGGATTTTTTCATGTAAGCATTTTGAAGTCACATTCCATCATTGCATCTATGTCCATGGATTTTTTTTTAAACTCGTAATTAGTTTAAAACATGTTACCTTTCCTCATAAGAGTGCTCTGTCCATATTTCAAGTATTTCTTCAGATAGTCAACACACTCATGGGTGATGTAATTGTAATTGTGATAGTTGTGATAGTTGTTATATGGTGCACTGCCTCCATCCTCTCCCACTTGTGTTTGCAGGGAACAGCATCTGGTCTTTCACATCGTATTTTGACATTTTGTATTGATGGACATATAACTATTATAGTGACTATTTTTCCACAACAACTAACAAACAAAAGCGGTGAGCAAACTTTGAACTAAACATAACTCATCTAATCACCTTTGGGCACCATGGGGCTGCTCACCCACTGCACCAGACTACAGAGTGGCAGAGGAGCTCACTTTCCAACAGGCTCCTACAGTTCGAGTCAAACAGTGAGAGATACAGGACTACATTGATACCATACTCCATACAATTGTTCAACAACTCACCCTTATGTAACAGATAACTCTATGACCTGTCTGCCATCACATAATTTTTGCACTGTCTTCCTTATGACCTCTTGTATATAGCTGATTTGTTTTTATTACTTATTTTAACATTTTTATTTTGACTTGTATTTGATAATGCGTTATTTGACACCTGTCTCTTGCTGTCTTTTTTGCTGTCGATTTAGAATTTCTTATTACAATTTTTTTTTGTTTTTACTCTTTGTTAATATAATATAAATTGTGATGTGTGAGCTACTGTGTCCAAATTTTTTCCTTTGTGGATCATTAAATTTTGTCTAAGTCAAATATAGCAAAAATGCCTAAAATTTGCAAATTAACCAAAACTAAATGAGTAAATTAATGGACATAAAAAAAATAAACAATAATTTTTAGTGTTGTTCAGTAGTTCACCAGCAGAGGCGCACTTTCAGGAGCAGAAGGATTTTGTGGCTCCAATAAGTTACGC